AGAGATCCATGGAAAATTTTTACAGAGCGTGCTGATATAATCAGACTTGCATTTTAGAAATATCCCTTGGACTGCTGTACATGTGACTCTACAGTTGATCTCAGGGGTTAAATGTGTCCCAAAAGTTAGATAAGGTAAGGAATGGAAAGAATGCAATACTTTTAGCAATGAGGAGTCTCCTGGTGACATTGGTGAAAGCAGTTTTAGAAAGAAGGCAGGCACAGGTGGCAGACGGTAATGCGGTAATGCTTTTAAAGAGTGTATGGGATGAGGAAATGACTGTGGTTTAGAGAATTTGAGCTTTCAAGGGTAGGACAGAGTAGGGGAGTGCAGTAGCTAAAGATGAACATGGGATGAAAAAGAACACATTTAAATGCTGCCAAGATAAATCAGTAGAAAAATAAATGTTGCAAACGAAAGCTAGAGAGGAAATAAGAGGGGTTAAAGGAAGAAAACCGCACTTGTTATGGAATGCTGTTGTGAGGGGATCAAGCGCAAAGCGTGCATTTGGCTTGTTAGTTTTTTCCATTCTCTATGCACCGTTCACCCCCTTTTAAATCTCATTTTGTTCTTATCTATAACCTGATATTGATACTTTGGCCTGTGCTTTCTTGGCTGCTCACTTACAGTTTTAGAAAGCTCCCCATAGTGTAGACTGGCCTAATGTCTCGCACGTCACCTCTTCCTATCAATGCCCACAGTGCCTACAATTAATTTCCATTTGGCTAATTCCTACTCTCATCTTCACTGTCACGTTCAGCTGCTCAGCAGCAGTGATGGGCTCCTAAGCACATCTGAATCATCTCACGTACTCACTGAGACTACACTCAAGCTTTCCTGTTTTTCACTTAGCCAAGATGGGGGGCTTCTGTTCATTGTGGAAAGAGGCTATCTTCCCCCAGTGGCCTTGTTCCAATTCTTATCTTTAATTATTAAAAACAATTATTAATAGGGTTAAATACTTAGCTTGGGGTTAATTCCAATGCTTGTACACAGTAGGTGTTCAAAAATGCTAGTTTCCTCTTACTTAGTTCCTGTTTCCTCGTTCACCTCTAAGCCATTTCTCTGCCACCTTCCTCCCATCCCCTGCCTTTATTTTGCACTGTGGTATATTTCTTTCCAATGTTTCTATGCTTTGAAAAACATAGTTGAAAACATACTATTCATACTTTTTTCACTTGCTCTTTTAATGTGAATATTTTCCTATTGTATTATTATTAACTATGATTTTTTATTACTGCTAGACATTCCATTTTACAGATGTACCAAGCTTCACTTGGCCTTTTTCCCATAGTTAGGCATCTAGGTGCTCATGTATTTACAAATAAAGATTTGTTCATATTGCTGATTATTGCCCTACACTAGGCTTCTAGAAGTGGGATTACAATGGTAAACATTTTAAGTATTGGAAGTGATTACTGCTGTTTTCTCACCAGCGCAGTGCTAACTTTTCAAGTCCCATTGATATTATTACAAAAAAAAAAAAAATGGCTTTATGACATCTTTTACGTTTTCTAAGTAGCATCATCTTCGTCTTAAAAATACTAACCATCTAATTGTTTAGAGTGTTACACACTGTTCAAAGAGAACTACACAGATTTGATCCCTGCATTCTAAAAGTTTACAGTCCAAGAAAGGCATACTGATGCAGGTAGTTTAAGGAAGTCACAGTTAAAAGAGCAGGACCAAAGTACATTTATTACGCAGACTGAGGAGTGAAGAGAACAGTGGGACAAGCTGGGACACCTAGCCTTTACTTGGGCCAAATGTGAAGAACAAATTTGTGGTCTGCTAATTCCCTCTGAATGTCTCTGTTGTAATCTATTTCCTCCTCTCTTCCAGTGCATAATAACAAGTAGCTGCTCTCAGAAAGGTACTGTAACCACCACATGCTTGGTTCTTTAACTTCCTCCTCCCTTCCCATACCACCTTCCTGTCCCCCAGCCCTACCTTGGGTCCCAGACTAACCCCGACCTTACTTAGTGGGGTGGTAGGTAGCACTGGTTTGAAGAACTTACCGGATCTCCTGGAGCTCATAAGCTTGAAGTTGTACTTGGAAACCACAGGCCCTGACCATGGCTGCCAGACCTTCCAGACACCATCTGCTGCTCATCTGTCATCATCATCTTCAGGTAGTATGCTCATCTGGTTGGGCATACTCTGATCACCCTCCGCTGCAGCTGTCCCATGAGTGCCCCCTCCCTAACACCAAAAGAGAGCCCATCTAGATTCCAGGAACAAATCCATCCTTGTCTGCCTCATTCCCACCAATGATAAAAATATCATTAATAGCAACAATAAATATTTAATAAGTGTTTACTATTATTCATTTAATTGTTGGCCCTTCCATTCCAGGCCATGACAAGAGACATGCTGTAATTTACTCCTGCGGAGATATGATGACGCACGTGGACAAGCGTATTAGCATATTATCACTGGCATCAAAACTAATATTATCTGTTTACCCAGAATAGGCCTAAGGGAGAGGGAAAAGCAGAAAACCTACTTATCTCAGTGCTCTATGCCAAGTCCAGGAATGGTGCTTGCACTGTTGCATCCACCAAGTCTAACCACAAGAAGGAGGTGATCAGAAAGCAAGGTGTTGTCAATAAGAATATTCACTAAAATAAAGGTATTGACATCATTGTCAGGCAGATTCTCTTCCTGTGCAGTATCTAGTCTGTTGACCTAGTCTTCTTGTTCTTCCCGAGTCTGATCTGTATCTGTTTTGCTGTGTTTCAGATACGAGGGTAGTAAAAATAAATTAGAAAGCAAGAACTTTAAGTTGCTTTTCTTTTTCCTTTATATTGGATTCATGCTAATATGAACCTATGGTATGAAAAGAAGTTTTTTGATTATATGTGTATGCAGTCATCCATTTTAATCCTCTTACCACTGACTGACCGAGAGTCAATTACCAGCTAATACCCACCCACCAAGGATGAGTTACAAGTTATGGCAGGTGTTTGGTGAGTAATACTAATGCAATTTATTTTACTGTTTACTCTCTTCTCTTGGAGTAATCAAATTATAGATTGGCCCTTAAAAATTTTGTTTTTAAGACTTCTGTTCCATTCATATTAACCTTATTTTCAAATTTATTTTACTAATTATACTTCCTGTGCATGAATCACATAATTGTGTCTTTTGCCCATTTATCCATTGGGTATTGGTAGTGTTCACAAATATGTTTAAATAAATTTTCATATGTTTGGAGATAACTTTTTCATCTGTGGTTTCATTTGTTTTTATTGTTAGTTATTTTTGTTGCTTAGAAGTTAAACAATTTTTGTAAATATATTTGACCATTTTATTTCATTGCTAATTTCTCCTTTTTCTCCAATTATAAAAAAATTATCACTTTAAAGTGGGACTAAAAACCCTATTCTTCCCTCAGGGTTCCATTCCCCACCATCCTTGAGATCTTACACTGACATCCTCTGGGCCTCCGAGCCCAGGCCCAATAACTCTTAAATGTATTATTTTCAAAGGTTGAATACTTATGACTTCAACTGAGCTGTATCCTGCAGAGTCCATAGTCTAACTTTTTGTCCTGAATTTAGAACTATTTCCCATGTTTTCTGATGTCTAAGAACTCTATGGCTTACTCCATTCGTACCTAAGTTAGTACTTAGATTCACTCATTCATTCACTCACTTATTCATTTATTCATTGATTCACGCATTCATTTATTCAATCATTTATTGTATGTGAGACATATTCTCTATGGTAGTCCCCAATGAACCCCGCTTCCTGGTGTTTCCCCTAGGGTAGGAACTGTGACTTGCTTCTAAACAATAGAACATGGTAAAAGTGATGAGATGTTCCTCTTGTTATTATGTTATATAATAAAAGACTCTGTCTTGCCAGAAGACTCATCCTAGAGACTAATCTTGCTGGCTTGATGAAGTAAGCAGCCGTGTTGTGGAAGCCCACATGGTGAGGAACTCTGGGCAGCCTTCACCCAACAGCCAGGAAGAAGGTGGGATCCTTGGTCTTAAAGCCTCAAAGAAATTAATTCTGTCAAGAATGTGAGTGAGCTATCAGGGGTTTCTTCCCCAGTTGAGCCTCAAGATGAGAATACAGTCTATTTGACACCCTGATTGCAGTCTTGTGAGATTCTAAGTAGAGGAAACATCTAAGGCACACGCTGACCTGTAGAAATCCTCAGATAATAAATGAATGCCATTTTTAGCCACTAAGTATGTGGTAATTTGTTGTGCAGCAGTGGAAAACGAATACACTGTGTTATGCTAAATACCGTATATTCATTCTCTCAATGAATTACTCTTCAAGTACCCCCCATGAGCCTTACACTAATATTATTTCCACTTTACAGATAAAGAAACTGAGGCTCAGGAAGTGAATTTCAGAACATTCTGCTCTCAACCACTGTACTATCGGCATGTTTAATTTAAATGTATTTGATTATTTCATGGATCCAAGTTTATCACGGTTTAAAACTTATCTTCTGAACATATTGAATGTATTTAGGAAAAGTCCTACTAGGCATGCCTAGTACACAAAATAGGTGTTTTTATAAACTTAACATTATAAAGAACTTTCCTATAACATTTTTGTGCTGTAGTTTTGCCATATACATCACAGAAATAATATTAAATTTATAAAAAGGAAAAATTCTTTTTTGTGTTAATGATGGACAGTAAACTATTTAGAAGGGAAAATAATTATGACTGGTACAAGCCCCAAATCACTGGAAATTGATCTGGACTTAGAACACTAAAGTAAACATCAGTTAGAATGTGTAGGATCTCAGATTCTGTCTTTAGCTGCAAGACAAAAACATTTCATTTTTTGTGCTAACTTTCCCATTTCTGATCAAGTATATGGAAAAATTATGAAGTGAAGAGACTTAGAAATGCTTTTTTAGAAAAATAACTGAAGTCCTATTTGGTTCAGTGTTCTGAGGAACTGAGATGGGATTACGACTCTATTACTGTGTCTCCTAATGAGAGTTCTTTCTATTCTGCATTTATCAGGTGTTAATTATTCATACTGCATGATTGAGGATTTTGGAGTCAGAGATTCACCTGCAATATTTGGAATACCAGTGGAGGTCTACATCAACACAGAATTTATACAGCAGCTGGTGCTAGTCAAAGCTAATGATCAAATTTCATTTTAATAAAAAGACCCCCAACCGAGCATACCATCTTGAAAAAAGTATACTTATCAAATAGCTTTCAATCAGTTCAAGAGAGATACCTTAATTGGGAAGAGGAAAATTTGCAGAGCAGTTTGTCATTGTGCCAATTTCAGATCAATAACTGCACGTCTGCTTTTTGGTAGACACAGCTTATGCTCTGTACTGAGTAACCATGCCTACATCCTCTCCATTTAGACAAGGCGTCTTTGTTCCATTTGACAATGTTAAATGATATCTTCTTTTAATTCCCCTCTGTGTCTCCATAATCACATAAGCAAAATTTAGATTTGTGACTATAAAGATCAATACTGTTTTTAAAATTTTTAAAGAAATTGTATATATCTATATATTTGTAACAGAAAAGCAGCACTTACGACATTTTTATATTTTCAAAAATTGTTTTGTTGAAAGAAAATTGTATGAGTAAAGTTAAATTATGATGTTTTAACTATAAGAAGAATATACTGAGCAATGATGATCTGATAAAATTATTTTGGAGAAGACTGTACAGAGTCATCTACCAGCAAGAAACAAAGAAAATGGATTTATTGTTTTGAAAGGAAGGATTTGGAATAGAAAAGAATGGGACTCAGCCATCAGGTCTTAGTTTCCTTATTTGTTAAAAGGAGATGTTCATTCAAGCTGATGGCTTTCAAACTACTGGTCTCAATGCTGTGATAGAGGGCATTATGGACCAGGCAAGGCAGGTGGAGGGGATGAGGAGGGTGGTAGAGCAGGACACCAATGTGGAGGTCAAGGCCAAGTGTGACCAAGAGGGCTCCGTAGTTTCCTTTCTCACTTTGACCACTTCGACCAGGGCAGATCTTTTTTCTCTTTTTCTTTTTTCCCGTTTTTCTTTTTCTTTTTCTTCTTTCTCTTTCTCTTTCTCTCCTTCTTTCCTTCTTTTCCTTTCCTTTCCTTTCCTTTCCTTTCCTTTGCTTTCCTTTCCTTTTCAATCATAACTGACATTCGATATTATATTACTTTCAGGTGTACAACATAGTGGTTAGACATTTATATAATTTACAAAGTGATCCCCCAATTAGTCTAGTAACCTCGATACCATACATAGTTATTACAGTATTAGTGACTGTAATTCCCTATGCTGTGCTTCACATCCCCATGACTATTTTGTAACTACCAATTTGTATTTCTTCCTTTTTTTCCTCCTTCCCTCCCTTCCAAAATCTATATCCATTTATATAGGTATAAATGAACATATAAAAATATTGAGTTTCTGTGTAAGATTTCTTTTTGGAAAACAGGGTTCTACTGCTAAAATATAGTTTGAAAATCCCTGGAGTAGGCAATTCTAAGTCCTCTTCCTTCAATGAATTTCTTCCTTTTAGTAATTCTTCAATTACTGTTAGGATTTCAAGACCCAGGAACAAAATAGCAGGGGAGATTAAAAATCTAATAACATACACAACAAATATCTATCTGCATGAACTGTAGTTCTGCTAAGAGGCGAAGCTAAGGGTGAAATGGTGTTTTGCAGACCCCTACAGAGACATGGGACTAATTAATAAGTCTCTTTTTTCAGAGTAACTATACAGAACAGAGTCATACTCAGTTAGGCACCTAATCTACTAGATGATGTTTGAGCAGACTGACAGAATTATGGCCTCATTTTAAAAATCAAAGCCTTGCATTTAGAGAATCATATACTATAAGAGTTGGTGGGATAATGTGAGATAATTTTCTTCATTTTATACATTTACTCACCTATTAAATTAATAAATTTTTGTTAGAGTATGTATCAGCCACTATGATAGATATTGGGGTTAACGTATATTGTCCCAATCCGTATAGAGATTATTATGTTTTAGTGGAGGAGATAGCAATTAAACAAATAATCATACACATAAGTATATAATTATAAGTTTTTAAGTGCTATTAAGTAAACAAACAGGGTTCTCTGAGATCATAGAGAATATACGAGAACAGTAGGCTGTGGAGAGTGACAGTGACTTGCCTCAAGTCATTGAGCCAACTCTAGTACTGCAGAGCTGGCACTAGACTTAGTCGTATGGTCTTTGTTTTACCAGCTTGGCTGCGGAACTTTAGGTCAATAGTACAGGCTCAGTGATGGAAATCAGAAATCTACGAGCTCCTTTTCTGGCTTCTCCACTACTTTGAAATGTTGGGTAGCCTGAGAGACACCTAAATATCTGCACTAAGAATAGAAGCTTCAAATCTTTGAAAATTCTTCTTTGGTTAAGGTCTCTCTGCTTGCAATGTGTTTGACTACAGGCTGAAAATGGATTGCAGAGGCAAAAAGTTCCACAATTAAAGAAAAGCAATCTCCTAGTGGCTACAGCAAGACTACTAATTATCAAAACTTTCAGGCTGCAACCAGATTTGATAGCTTTCTTGATTCTACTTTGCTGTGAAACAAGTGATTTTGTTTCCATAGAAGGTCCAGTCCAAAATGTACATCAATTTCCATTACAAATCTTTGCCCAGATAGGTTTGCCAGAGCTATCAATTACAAGGAAAATGAAGTTAAACCATCATTATTATAATTATTAACTAACGTCAACTATAATGAACCCATTTTTATGTTTGGAAACTGAGCCAGTTGGGATAGCCTTCAGCTCATATGGATAGCAAGGTGTTTGAGGTTATTTTCTCTGGAAAGAACCTTCGAGTAAGATTTAGTTGGGTGTGGTTGGTGGCAGATTCATATGCTTTGGAGATCCAAAATACACAGAGACAAATGGCATCATTTCATGAATATTGAGATGCTTTGCCTATCTATCTCTAGAAGCACCTGCCATCAGCCAATAACAATTTAAGTCTTTCCTAGTCTTTGATGGGATAAGTGATCCACTTGTCTCAATTTAAACCCTAAATATAGTCAAGCGCCATTATTTTAGATTGTTTTGTTTGTTTTTATATGATCAGATTTGCATTTTTATTATATTTCAGAATTATTTGTACATATACACTTTATATAAATTTTTGCATTGATGAATAAATGGGATTATAGTGTTGGGGTTTTTAATGGTCTATTTTTTTTTCCTCTTGCAATCCTCCTACCTCCACATCTCCTTTCCTGCTGCCCCTACTCCTACCATAACCCATGTTATCAAACTAGCTTGAATCTTTGCATATTTTTAATTCACGCTCATATAATATTATAAAAGTGTGTGTGTGTGTGTGTGTATATATATATATATACACACACACACATATATATATGCTTCATATATATATAAGCATATATATATATGCTTCATATATATATAAGCATATATACATAAAAGTATATATATATTCCCACGTGTGGATTTTTTGGGGACCTTTTTTATTTTTAGAAAAACTGGATCATATTATATACCTTTTATCTACATGGATGCTATCTACCTCTGGAAGCACCTGCCTCTTTAACTAGTAAATACCTCAGGAGAATGTCTCCAAGTCAACTGGCATAGTCTACTTCATTTGCCAGTGCTTGTATGGTGTAGCTGCACTGTGATTCACTTTGTTTTCAGTTTTCTGCTATAGTGAACAATGCTGTGATTAACTTCCTGTGCATGCGTCCTTGTGTACTGCAGCTTTTATTTTTATAGGATAGCTTTCCAGAAGTGAGAATTCTGAGTTAAAGATGTGGCTATTTAATTTTAATAAATGTTATCAGATTCTTTTCCAAAAAATATCATAACGATTCTCATTCGCATCAGCAATAATGAAAGTACCATTTCTTTCCGCATCCATACCAAAATGGATGTTACCACTTTTTCATTTTTGTCACACTGAAGTGTTTAAACCTCAGTATTACTTTATTTTCCATCTCCCTTACTACTAGTGAGTTTGATGTCTTTGTATGAATTCATAAGCCATCAAGTTTTGTTCCTCTGGGAGTTGACTATTTTCTTTTTATTTTGCATTTATGTTGGAAGAGCTAGTTCTAGAATAATCTTGCTTTTTTCATCTGTTAAAATTTTTTTCTAAATTTCTCATTTGTTAATTTTTGTAATTTGGAATACATATTTTTTTAAATATAGCTAAAAATTTACATTTTTTTCTTTTACAGTTTCTAGTTTACTGTCTTGGTTATGGAAATTTCTCCACATGTACATTTTTAAAGAATTTTTATTCTTTTATTTTTATGTTTAAGTTTTTAACCCATCTGAAATTATTTTTGTATATGAGTTTAATTTAATTTTTCTATATCATAAAAAAAAATCTTTCCTACTGAATTGGACTATTATCTTCATTATGCCTTGAATTCTCTTATTGGGATCTACTTCTGGATTCTTTGTCCTGCTCTACTGATTTACCTATTCTTATGCAAATACCTGATTTGATTTGTTTTTATCACTTATATGTGAGATCTTCTAATATTTAATAAAGCGTGTCACCCCTAACTATTCCTCTTATCCTTCTATTTACAATTCTATTGGGTTATATCTCTAGGGATGTGTTCCTTTAATAAACTTCAAGGTCAATAAGTGTATGCCAAAGTTATACGTGTCTCTTCTGGCTTTAGGAGCCAGAATATGGTTGCTTCATCCTCTTTTGCTGTCTTGGTGATGGCAAAAGCACTTGTGGAAATAAAACTTCTTTCAGCATGGGTTCTGAAGTGACAACAATGAGCAGAGCCTCCCTCATGATCCACATTATCCATGAGTGAAAAACGAACTGGTTATGTTAAATCACAGAGATTATGGGGTTGTTTGTTACTGCAGTAGTACCTAGCTCATTCTGACTGATGGGATTGTTGTGAGGCTTAAGTCAGATAATACATATAAAAACACATATTTCAAAGTAACAGATCAATAAATTTGAGTCACTATAATTAAAATTACTAGTAAATAACAGCTATAATAAAGTTGCTCTTATGTCTGGAGACAGGGCTTTCTGGCCATATGGTTTAATTTCAGGTAATTAAGATGATACATGTACCAGAAGAAATATCTGCTGCTCCTGCTCGACATTGTAGTTAAAAGTTTAA